TCTTTCCTGAGCAGACAGCCGTAACCAACCAGTTTCCACCCCAGAAGGTGCCAGTCGCAAACCTCCCCCCAGCTTATCCCTCCCGGCAGCTTTGTCCTCCGAGTACACAACGGTTTCCCACTAGGGGGGGATCATGGGCTAAATTTTACATTACAGATGCGGATACCAGGACAGCCGCTAACTTCCAGTCATAAATATTTAAAGCTCTGATCAAAAGGTTTTGTGGGAGATGTATGATCCCATTTACGCTCATAAAGCTGTCTGATTCTTAATAGCTTTTATCCTTCATGCGGCCATGTCATTGTTAGGGACAAAAGGGGAATGTAACGCACAGACGTGGCCAGCTGCGGCTTCTAGGCTTTTGGTCCGGTTGCCAAAAAACAGTAACGAAAACACATTACTTTTTTTCCAAGTTGCCTATCATAATAGTTTTCTACAACTATGCATCATCTTAGTGCGTCAATACACACAGCACACATTTGGCGAACACAAAACAGGGCTGGAAACAGTACCGGCAGCGCACGGGGGAGAGGCGGCGAGGCGTGGGATGGTGATTCCTACCTAACCACGAGGTGGGTGCACACGATGAACTCGGGCTTGGAGTTCCACTGGTGGTAGGTGATGTAGTAGTGCGTCTGCAGCCAGATCCACTGCTGCCCTTTGGTCAGGAACCTGTAGTAGCAGGACTTGCCTTTTCCAAACTGCATCACTGTTTAACAAAAAGAAGGCAATTAATAGCCAAAAAAGAGTTTTCCAGATTTCTTCATATAGCCGTGATTAATAAAATACCCCCTTTTCTTCTTGCACTCTGATACCGCACTAAAACTGCTCTTGCTGCCTCATAAACATGACACACACACACACACCCACATACTGAGTTGTTATTTGGGTCCTTTTTTGCTATTGTATTTTGAGATTGTTCTTATAATCAGTTACAAAAACTGGCAAAAGCAGGCACTGGGCTTCTCTGAAAAGAATAAAAAAACATCAATTAAGCAGGGTTATGGCCTCTCGCAAGTACATGAAAATGCATTTCAGAGACGGTGGGCTTGAAGACAGGTTCCTAATTACGGCAATAAACAATACGATAGCGGAGTCTAGCAGTTTAACTGCTTAGACTTAAGCTGTTGGGGACAGGTTTTCTTCTGTGAGATGACCTAAATACAACAGACCTGATAGGTATATCAGGGTATGTCCACAAAAATCACAGGTGATGTAGTATAACAGCACCATAATGAATGAACTACATTGACTGACCACATTAATTGCTCCCAGACTGCTGGGAGTACAAAATAAAACATGATCATTTAAAATACCCATAAGTAATGCAAATAAAATGCCTATAATTAATGAATTAAAGTGAAATATAAACGTGGTTTAAGCTTCACAATTTCACTTCACAATAGGCAAGGTGCCTGCCCACGGCAGTCAGCCTGGCAACTGGGTATTTATGGCACGACAAGTATTTTCCTCGCCTGCGCATCTCTGCATTGTTAAGTAGCAGGACTAACTTATTTAGCAATTCCCATTAACAGTGACGGGCTTTAGATGAAATATTTAGAGAAGGTCTTCTGGTTAACATGCCATGCTGGGAAGCATTCAGTTCCTAGCCCTGCCAGCGATTTCCTGAGCCATCTCATATAAGCCACTCGGCCAGCACCTCACTTTGCCCTCACAGGAAGTTTAAAAAGATCCTTTCCTGCAGGTGTGTTGTGCAAATATATTTCAATACATAATAATATAATATATAATAAATACATATAAAATAATTAATATATATTAATATATTTTAATGTCTAAGAGGGGATCAGTTGCTAGGAGAGATGTGGCATGCAAACCGCTAAACAGAGGGACTCTCTGTTGAACGATCAGACTCCTCTCTCACATACTGCAGTCAGTATATACATTGAACTGCAAGCACGTATTAACAAAAGGATATATTATCTGCCTAAGTTATCTCACTCTGTCTGCATGGCTATTTTAAGCAAGGAGCACTAAAAAAGTACCGTAGTTGAGAGTAATTAAAAATATTCCCATCTTTGCGCTTGCTGCACTTGACAGAACTTGTGTCTAGCCGCTTTCACAGTTTCTTCTGCGTAATCAGCCAGGCAATCCGCTTCCCCTGCTGCTTGTTTTATACACAGCATTTTGTCTTCATCAGTGCAGAAAAGGCGAGGGGAAGGAGGAGTGGGAAATTTGACACTTCAGAGTAGAAGTCATCTTTTCCACTCTCTGTTAGATCCTATAGTATTTGATACGCATGGTGGGTACGTGGTAGAGCTGGGGGCGGTTTGCAATCCACCGTCAGAGAAAGTCGCACAAACCTCTTGACTCGTGTCCTGGTGAGTCTATAGAGCTTCTTGGTGTCCCTGCATCATGCTGCTCTGCATCTCAGAGCAAATACAGTACCCCGTTTTCTCCACCCTCTGGGTATCCTGCTTTTCTTTTGACAAAACACTCTCCTCTCAAGCAGAGAAGAGATAGACTGATGGCCAGAGTGCCCAACAGGAAACCTATAAGCAACACTTCTTGGCAAAATATCTGATTACCTAGATGCATTTTACAAAGTGCATGGTTACTTTTCACTACACCTCTGGGCAATGCGAACCAGCTGGAGGACAGATGTAATTCTGGTTCAATATCTCATTCTGAAGCGCATGTAGCAAAATGGAAAAATACAGTCTTAAGGGTAAAGCATCTCACATGCTCATCTGGTAGGAAAACCACACTGGTTATTAGACCATGTTTCCTGTCACCTCTTGCCCTTCCTTACATCAGCTCCAGCCTTCAGTGGGACATGGTGTTTTGGCAGCACGCTACACTGCAGCAGTAGTCAGGCTAAGTGCTCCTTTGGATCTGGCTCCACACAGGCTCTTGTAGGTCACACTATTTCATCTTGCATAGGGTTCATGTAGATTCTTCTGGTGTTAACACATCAGCTCAGGAACCTCCAGAACTGGACAAAACTATCTTTACAAACTTGCAACACCAAGAAAAATCTGGGCTGAAAGCTCACAGACTTTTCTCACCCCCATAGATATTCCCAGTGGAAGGGAAAGTCCCCATTCCCAGCAACCAAGCCAGTGTGGTCCTGGCTGGACCCAAGCTGATCCTGTGTGGAGTGCCTTGGACCGAGCACTCCCAAGAGCCCAGGCTGTCTGCTCTCTCTGGGCGTGCCCCCAAACCCCCAGCTTCAGGTAATGGGGAGCTGGCTGCAGCTCTTTTACTCTTCAGGCAAAACTACTTTGAGATTAATAGAAAACAAACTATTGTAGCCCACAAGGAATCTGTAATCAGCATTTCTGTATAGAAGATCTGAATTTCCAGAACCATTTTACTAACAGTAAGTGAAGTTTACAACACCTAATTGCACAGAAAGGCAATCCAGATGCTGCCTTCAGAGTGCGTTTCCGTGAGCTGAGCCTCCTGGTTAGCTCCAGAGCCAGTGCAAACCGAAAGTCCCCATAAATTGCGGCAATCAGCAAAATCCTGGGGATCAGGGCTGCTCTGATAAGCTCGGGCAGAGGATGGAAAGTTCTGACTGCCCATTCAGTACTCTAATTTCACTTTCAGATGCCTATGTTCAAATAGGATACCTGCCAAAGCATCAGCCAAGATACTCTCTTATTGGAAGAGAGAATTCCCTTTCTCCCCAGGAAAGGATGCCTTTTGTGATGACAGTAAAAGGTTCTGCACAAGTGAAAAATGAGATCAGAGTCAGGCACGCAGCAGAGGGAGAGGAACTTACAGTGTTCATGGCACCTAGCAAGAAGCTCCAGGTCATCTGCGTGGTAGTAGTCATACCCTGACGTTCCCAGCACCTCAAAAGGTAGGTATCCTATGATAGGTGGAGCCCTAGAAGGGAAGCAAAGAGCAGGTAGTAAACAGAAAACCTGATACTGTGACTTCATGGTAGATGCTCTGTGATACTAACAATCAAAAAGATCTCATACTTGGCAGGGAAACTGGGAGTGGATATTGACCTTTTCATACACAAGCAAAAACCAACAGGAGAGATGCAAAAATTGAGAAAATGAAAAGGTGTCTCTTTATTGTTTCACAGCCTACTCATCATGTGGGCGTAGAGGAAGGCATGCACGTATGCAGGTGACTCAATTCATTAAGCATGCTTGTTAGACGTGTAGCTTGAGAAATGCTTTGGATGTTCATGTGCATATTAAACTGGAGCTTGAGTAAAATTATCCAGTAGGTTGGATGTAAATGTCATCTGGGTAGTAAATGTAGAAGAAAGAGTAAGTGGGAAGCACAACGTGTGTCAGGACCTGCTTAGGTAAAAGAGAAAGTAATTGTTCCCATGGAAAAGCTTGGGAAACTGAAACCAGCAAACGTGTTTCTAGGCTGGCAGTAAAGAGGAGAAGAGGGACGGGGCTAATTTTAAGGACTGTTATTTCTCTGGCCGGTAGAGAAGGAGCCTAGGAAGTATGTACATGGGCAGGTAGAAACGACTTCTCTGACTGTTCTGCTATCAAGCCTAGATCTAGGCAAAAATTGAGATTTTTTTTTTTTAACTGCTGACCTAACAACACTGAGCTTGTACACAGCCTGCACTGCAGCCTGCTAGCTTATGATTAGGAAACAGCACTGAAAGGTGAGGCCAAAAATACGATGTTTACATCTACCTCTTATTCCAGCAAGCCACCTTCTGTCCTCTAGCACACAAGCGTACTCCTGTTTGCATCAATTAAAGCACCGTGTGTACTCTGTGAGGCAGGATTTGACTATGCTGTGCTAATTCGGCATTTTGCTCCACCTATTTGTTTTGGCTGCTGGATGTGCTGATAGCACGAGGATCACTTGCCAAGTTCAGTGTGTTCCTCGGGAATAAAGATGGCAGTGTATTACTGAAACAGCTAATGTTTCAAAACTAGGACAGTCTGAAGGTGTCATTGCCTATTAAACGTGCCTCTTATGCTGCCTTTCTCTTGGTGTGCCAAATGACCCTCTTAGGGAAGGTGAATGCCATAACGTGGCCAAGAACGTGAACAAAAATTATTTAAGTGTAAGGATATGCGGGCTTGGATGGATCGACCTCAAGACCTCTGGGGGTCCTACTGTCTTGGCCAAGCAACCCAGCTCTAAATCTGTACTCTTGGAGTCTGAGCAATCTCCTAAAACCTGCCCAGCATAATGACTTATCTGGAAGAACCAGTCTTCCACATGCTCAGATGGCAAATCTCTTGAAACAGAGAGCAGTTAATACAGAGTGGTCTCTACCACAAAATAGCCTTACTTATTCAAATAACTTTGTATAGAGCACTGTGTTCCTTTTCTTCATGTGACCCATATTTCTTTTAATGATGATAATACATGTATTTATTAAAGTGTCCTTTCTTCTGTCTCTTTAACCAAATGTGCCAATATCTCTTGGGTCTTTAATGACATGCTTATCTTCAGGACAATAACGCCTTTCAGATGCACATCAGATAAACATTTTAAGTTGATCAGGAAAGTACTATGCTTTCATGATTTTTACTAAGACTCTTTAAAATAGAACGTAACCACAAAATACTTCTAATCTATCATTTGACAAGGAATTAGCTTGCTTGTGCAACAATCTGAAAATGTCTTGGTAGTTCAACTTCCAGCCTGCAACTGGCCACGCAAATGCAACTGCACGGTCTTTTCAGAGCTTCTTGAGCATGAGATTGGTGACTATGTCAAAAGCCTGAAGGATGGGATTTTAAACCAACAACCTCCCAGTGCAAGAACTGCAGGATGAGATCTTGCAATCTTTTAATTTTGTGAAGGGAAAATGAGGACAGGACCACAGGACAGAACAGAAATAGATCACTACCAAAGTTCACAGGTTTTCTTTCTTTACACATGTTTATAGGCAGATTCAGAATGCAGATTCTCCTAGTTTTCTAATATTTATCCAGACATAAGATGCTTTCTGCACCATTTATCATCATTCCACTTTATATCATTGTCAGGTATATTAGTTCAATGGCTGAAGGCTGGGTTCCAAGCAATGCTGGGTACCCACTGCTCTGCCGACTGCACCCCTCTCAGCACCAGGCCACGCGAGTTGACGTAAATAAACAAGACACCACAAAACAGTCAACAGCATTTCACAGTGCACTAGAGATCCTGAGGCCTGTACTGGATAGAGGTTTGAATGAATGATTAAATGAGACAACCCACATGATTCCTCTCTCTTTCTTGGGTCTGTGCTTACCGCTTACATCCGGTGCTGTCACAAACTCTGGCTCAGCATCCACAGAAACTTAATTTACTCTCAGAAAGAGCGGTTTCCTCACTGGGGATATCAGAGGGAATGGAGCAGCCGTGAGCATCCGCAGCAGAGAGACTCCTCTCTGAGTCATAACCCAGATTCATCAGAAGACTCTTTGATACGTTTAGCAAAGCTCTTACTTGCCTGATTCACAGGAGCTGCTGGGGACACAGCCCTTTGGAAAACCAGCTCACTTGTTTAGATAGAGAAATAAGGGATTTAGAAATCTAACATTAATCACCTGCTTCTGATTGGATAGACCAATTAAAGGAAAGCAAAGTTACTCCAACGAGATCTAGATGACATGAGTAATACGCAGACTATCCCAAACCGCACAGCATTAACTGTAAGGCTTCAGCATGGACGGTTCTTCTACATTTCAAGGTATGATACGTGGAAAACATATCTTGCCTAATACATGAATGCAAATTCTATTTATATTCTCTCTCTCTCTCTTTCTTGTACCAGATGTGCAGATGATATTTAGTTTATCTCCCCCCCCCCCCCCCCCCACAATAAGGCTTATTTCGTACTCTTCTCTTTCTAGTGATGACTACCTTCATAGGGCTTGTACTCTGCAAAGACAATTGCTGCTGTGCTCTGCGGGATAATGGAAAGAACAGGATTTTGCCTTGTGTTCGTGCATACTTGCCAAATACACAGAAGCAAAGAGCGAGCAAAAACCTCCAGCTTCTTCTGAAGAACATGAATTCTATACTAATCGACTCAATAAACTGATTCCAGTCCGTTTCGTTCCCCAAGCCCTAGCCTAGCCTATCATACTCTATTTAGTCAAAAATAAAGCTGTAGTTAGACCATCTATTCCGCTACATTTTCATTTTTTATGAATTCCAGCATTTACCAAGGTGAAATTCAAAAGTTTATTGATACAGTGAACAATTTAGAAGAATTTGTGGAACATGCAGAGGGAAAACAGAGGAGTTAAACCAATAGAGAGAGCAGGACACACACTACTCAGTTCCAGTATCTCAGTCATATTTTTCTAGACGTTTTCCCTTCACTTTACATGTTTCTTAGCTGTCTAAAATATGAAAGAGGGCAAAGTCTTTCGGGAGGTCTGATAAGTAAGTTCAGAGTATTATTAGTTAAGTAGTCAAATTTAATGAGAGCTATTCCACATGGGATGTCAGGCAATAGCCTCACAGCACTTTCAATTTTTAAACTACAGCTTGTTTATTCTTCATTGACCAAAACCAAATCTCTTACCTGTGGTCCAAGAATAAAAACTTCCATTCCAAACTATGCCTTGATGTAAATTCTTCACATGGCTCCTCAACATTGCAGAGCTCCTGCAAAACAGTTGGCACATTCAGATATTTAATTCTGTGAAACGACAAAAGGAGCCCTCTGTCAAGACTAAGAATCTTGCATCTCAGTATAGCAAGCCCCAGTAAAATAAAGAGATTTAAAAACACCTGATTTTTTTCCTCTAAGGAATGTGCAAGCCTTGTTTTATAGATGCATAAACTGATGAAAAGTGCCTGAATAACTTACCTGGGGCTGAGTCACTTTCAGAGCTAGGATAAATAGCCTAAGGGCCTCATCTTGCAGTCTGCAGGCAAAATTCCCCCTGACCTTTTTTAAAATTTTGGCAACTGAAGATGGATGCCATCACCAGGTGCCAGCTTCAAACCAAGCTAGCTAATGCTCTGTCAAGCAAGAAGCATCTGTCGTTGTTATCACCGTTGCTATTGCACCGTGCCACAGGACACTTAAAGAACAGAAAAAAAAGGTCCCTGAAATATGATGTTCAGGGTCTAAAGACATGAGTGACTTTCTTACACAAGGGAGCAGTGCAATGTATTTCTTTACTGGCTGCAACTTTTCAGGCGGTTTAGCTGGTCACCTTTATTGGTACTTCCTCAGCTTGCTGCTCTGAAACATCCCATCATGCAACCATCTCTTCTCAAAAGCAATTATTTTTCCTCATTCCTAAATACCCTCAAAGACAGCAGCGTCCTCACTCATTTACAAATCCTCAGCACAAACAATTCACGCTGCAAAGTATACTCTTTGAGAGGCTCCTGCAACATGGCTCCTCTTGCAAACAGCTGTGAACATCGCTTGTAGTAAAAGTAGCAGGCTCTTCAACTGAGTGCTGATTTCCAGAATATAGGGAAAAATGCAATCTGAGAGCTCTCACCTTTAAGAACTGCGGTGTGACAAGACGAACAGTTGCTACGAGGCAAATCTGCTCCTCCGTGGCTGACCTGAAAGCTCGTGCAATAGCTGACTCAAAGCCATTACAGGAGGGTGTAGGCACTAAACACAACCGGATACATTTATTTAAAAAGAAGAAGAAGACATTTCTTTTCATGTTAAGACAGGTACAACAACTGACGAAACTCAAGCAATGAACTTCTTCTACCCACAGCGTGATGCCACACTGATACACGCTGATGTTAATCAAAGAATGACCCTTTAGGCTCTGAGTAGCACACCTGTAACCACCTCCCCCTGGCTTGCTGGAAAGCTTTATGAGACAGCTCTGATCAGCTGGGAACATGCACTTACAGCCTCCTTGCTGGGATGTTGTCCATAAGAAGGCTGGAAGACTGTGATGCAAAGACAATGATGCTCAGCTGACTTTTAGGGTGGAGGGCTTTGCATTATTTTTGCTATTTTTCTTGTATGTTTTGAAAGCGTCCCATCAGAATCACAGACTGAGGACCAAGAAGATACAGGAAGAACTCCTGAGACTATTTTTCTGCCCTGAACATTCTTCTCAACACAAAGCAAGACAGCTTATACTGGATGTTAGAAGACGTGATGAAGAGGTTGGAGCAAGGAAATTGCACCTTTTTACAGTCCAACATTTGCAAGATTCAAGATTTTACAGGTTTATCCAATTATTTCATTTTTAAGAAGGGCCAATTCACTGCCACAAGTGAAACAGAATATTTAATTTCACTGGTTATTTGAATAAATTGCTTTAAAATTGTCAGTGTGTCAAATGTAGTGTGGGTCCTGCATCACCTCTTTAAGCAGAGCACTCAGAAGGTTGCACTCTTCTGACCAGCAGCCTCCCCAGCACTTCTATATGGAAAACATCTCCAACATCTTTGAAACAAGGCCTTTACGTGGCTATGGATAAAGGCACAATTTAAAGGAGAGACGCAGAGGTAAAGCAGGCTGGAATAGTAACTTACCATGAGTAAAATATTTAAAATCCACTACAAATTTCACATATTCATATGTCAGGGGTTCATTTGGATCTAAGCTGCCTCTTGCTAAATGGCAGCAAAACTCTATTTGCTTTTCTGCTGAAATGAGAGAAAGAGAGGGAGACACACACAATGTTACTAGAAGTCTGCACTTTAGCACGCTCAACATATCTAATCTCTGGAGGTTTTTATACCAACCCTGTCTCTGCAGTATCTGAGCACATTCTGCTGCGATGTTCTTGAGAGCCAGAAGTAAATATATATCTACTAGGAGAAACGATCAGCTGGTTTTGCTTAAGGAAATGTATTCTCACCCCTTCTCTGTGGCTTTACAGTTCCCCTGCTGCGCTGGCCTGAAGCCCTGGCTGTGCTGAAGTCAGCGGCACTTGCCCCTGCCTCCAGTGCGGGCAGGATTTCATGCAAAGCTGCAAAGTGACATAGAAATGCTCTGTTCTGGCAGCGCTCAGTAGGACCCTGAGCCAAAGGGCACTGAAGTCACCCTAAGTCCTTCCATTAGCTACAGCGGGCAGCGTGCCAAGCCCTTGTTGCATTTTATGCCTGAAGTATGAGCTGCCCGGATTAGCCCAGGCAATCTGCAGCCCCGGGGAGAGAGCCAGCGCCGGGTCCCGTGCACGCTTCCTGCGAAGGGGCGAGCGCGGCCGGGCCCTGGTGGCCCCGTGAAGGAGAGGGGCTGCGAGGGCAGGAGGGTGTTCTCCTAGAGGAAGCTGGTGAAGATGTGGTTTCAAGTTCTGGTGTGGGGGTGTGCTCTGGAGAGAACAGTGGAGGAAGGGACGTTTTAGGAGTGGGGCAGCAGCCAGCAGTGTTGACCCGGACCCAGATTTCAGCCAGGAAGGCTGGTGTTTAAATTACACTGAGGGCTTTTCAGGTTTCCTGAGATATGTGAGCATCCTAAGTAATGAAGGGTCTGCCAAAACTCTCTGGGTTTCCTCCTACCCTCTTTCTTCCCCCAAGCTCCCCACTCCTCTCACAGGCTCAGTCCAGCATCCCACCCAGGGAGAAATATCTGATGTGGGGCAACTGTGCTCTGCCCTACGATCCAAAGCAAACAGTCAAATAAATGCTGTCCAAATCAAAGGTCAAGTATTGGGAGCGTATAGGAACATTAGGTGATGCGCTGCACTAGAAACCAGACATATTAAAGGAGAATTTAACACAACAGAAATGGCAGGCAGGAGAATTAAAGAGCTGGAGAGCACTGTGTAGTCTCCCCTTGGGAGCTGTTTGCCTTTGGCAAATTTCCCTGACAGACAGACAAGACAAGAGCTTACCGTTTAAAAAATCAGCTGCAACAGGATCCGTCATGAGCACGTGTGGAGAAAGGAGCTTGTACACCTCGCTCTGCTCCCGCTCAGGCAGAAAGTTTAATATATTTTGGTCCACCAAATCTGACTGATACAAAAGAATGCTTTGTCATGTTCAACAGTGCAGCTTTACACAATCACACGTGTTTTCATCCCCAGCAGAACACAAAGGCTGCCAGTCCAGCACAGATGCTTAACACAAGGAAGCTACACTAGAAAGTGTTGCTTGCAAGACGGGACTCTCTGTGAGATGACATACAGTGCTCCTGTGCTTAAGAAGGAACTTGAAAAGTCACACTCTGTCTGCAAACGGATCTAGGGCAGGACATAACCTGTAGGTTATTTTACCCTGGTATTGCTACCTATTTGCAAAAGGCTGAACGGGTTCCAGAGGCTGCCTTGCAGTTACAGCCAGAAGCAAGCTGGAGAAGAAACCCTGATACTATAGGAATAGAACAGGATATGAAATCATTTCAGAATGAAAATCTATAACATTTCCTTTAGAAAACATGAGACAGAAGTGAGAGAGCTCTTTCTCCATCCCCTATTTGTACTCCAGATGAACTTCTGGCTAAATAAACTTGACTTGCCAAGTAGCTCAGTGCTGATAAACCCACACAACCTGACCAAGGTGGTTCTACCAAAGGTCAGCACGTATCTGCTACTTTGCACCCTAGGCCATCCAGACAGGTTAATTTTGTGTTCAAATTTGTCTTCACCCAACATCTTCTATGCCTCAGGCTTGGCACCAGATAAAAAAAAAAAGTGCTCTTGAGGGGCCAGCAAAAACTTCTGCACCCAACAACTAACTGACTTCTAGAAATTCTTCCAGGAAATTCTTATGCCCCATATTTGTTACTAACAACTGTGGGCTCAAAGTAGTAAAACCTAATGTGATTGAAAGACAGATTTAGTCCTGAAATCGTCTTTAAATTATCTGAGAAGAGCTTCAGCAAGTACAGATTTCATAAGCATGAGATTTTCCATGTACTTGATGGGATAAACACCACCCAGAACCTTCTTCAGATGTGCAGTCAAGCGGAGAGCTACGACTACAGTGATTTTGCATAGATTTTTTTTAGCTAACTTGCAGACCTTAAGAGAGAATCTGTTATTCACAGGAGCTTGAGTTACTCCCTAAGGGTTTGTCGGTGTATTCCCCACCCACAGTCAGTTGTCTCTGCCACGACATTCATACCATGGCTGATGTCAAACACAACAGAGTGGAAACAGTCTTGCGAGGGGACTGCTGTTTGTGGCAGGCCTTTCCATAATGTGACGCTGCCCTGCGGGTTCCTTGCTGAAGCAGTGCCCAGCCACAAAGTCCGCAGAGAATGATGGTAAAGCCTCGTGCTGCAACTGTGTCGCAATATGAACTAACCAAGGATCTAGTGTTATTGATCCACACGTAAAATATGATTTAAAGGGTAACAGACTGGTGCAAGCACCAGTTAGACTGCATTTCCTGTTCATGCGCGTAGATTAAGCTGGCCAGTGCACTCGAATCCTGCAGCTTTGGCGGAAACTTGTTTCTTTCACACAGCCTAATTCTCAGCCCACAGCAGGCAATGGCATTTTCGGCAGGCTTACGGTCAGATGTGCCTGAGAGGCACGGCACTGCCGGGGGGCTGCTGATCCAGCCTCGCCTCCCGCGGGATGCTGAACGGGCACCTGGGGAGGAGGAAGATGCGAAACGCATCTACCTCAGCTGAATCACCTGCACCTGCTATTTTAGAAAAGAGCAGAAGCTTGAACTGGCTCCAAAGCGCTTGCCCTGGACGCCTGCAGCCTGCTGCTGGGCATGCAACGCAGGTGGCTCTCGACCCCAGACTGCATGGGACAAGAACTAAGGCTCAGGGAGAGAGAATTTGCTTTCTAATTCTCATGCTTTCACAGCTCCAAAGTTTATTTCCAGCGGTCCGCAGCTCGGGCCCCAACACATCCCCAGAGAGCAGACATTAAACTAAATCTTTTCATCTGAGTTGTTGCCTCTTTCACTGGACAAAACCGAGTCCCATCTTTGCAAAAACAGGGCTGTGTTAGGGCAGGAGAAAGATTCTTCAATATATTGCGTTGTCAGAACTTACCGGTAAGTGTCCAAGCAGAGATGAGACGCTGTCAGATACATAAATAATAATCCCATCAGTGGTAAGAGCAATGAGAAAGCCATCTAATGCCTAATGATAAAAGGCAGACCAAAAGGAAAAAAAGAAGAATTATGCTAGGGAACAACTTAGAATACAATACAGTAGGCTCATTATTTCAAAGGCGATGCCTCTAACAGCCTAAAACCAACATAAGTCAAGTACGGTAATGATGGCTCAATATGGAAAAATAAAAATGACATATGATGTCTAATTCAGTATTCTTTTTATATTCTTATTTTCTCATTAATATTAAATTGACTTGCACTTTGCATCCAGTGAGTATTTGTTTAACATGAAGCAAGATACTGGTTGCTAAATTTTCTACACCTACACAATCCTGGTGACTTCAATCACTTCATTATGTGTTCTGAATTACACAATAGTTAACTAATGTGTATGGAGATGTTAGATATCATCACGGCAAACCCAGCATGATGGATCGATGGAGGGATGGAGGGATGGAGGGACAGACAGAAAAGCAGAAACAGACAAATTACACAATGCTGTATTTTTAGCAATTTATGGCTAACATGGGTGAGATTTAAAGCATTATTTATTCTGTTCAAAGCGTTCATGGGCTAGGCTAGTGAAATGACAATTTTAAAGTTTGCTTTGTTTTTCCTTTCTTATCCTCAGTGGTTTCCTGGCCTGGATTTGAAGTTCTCTATCCCTTCTTAAGTCACTAAATACGTTTTCTTCTCTGAGTGTTTTTCCTGTTCTTTGCAACAGCTTCTTGTACCATTGATCCAGTCTGTGTTCCTGTTCTTCTGTAACAATTACCAAGATCCAGGATGCATAACCTCTCGTCAGCAGAGTACACGAAGCTAGCTCTTCTGGAGACACCACGACGGTGCTCTGCAGTTTAGTCTACAGGGAGCTGAGGATGCTGAGTAGAGGTAGCACTCACCATCTTCCCCAACAGCCAGTTGTTCCCCACCTCAGTTTTGCGCTCTGCCTCAGCTGAAAATAAACTTGCTCAGAACAGATGTACTTTTGACTTTAAGGAAATTGGTCAATGGCCTAATGTAGTCCAGCAAACTGACAGTTATTAAAGGGTTATTTCCCCCAGCAACTTCTCGGGGGGCATTTATTTTGATTCAGCTAGAACAAACCAGCTTGCTTGGTGAGAGAAATCCCCAGAAAGACTGAATAGACTTTTCCAGGGAGGTGAGTCATGACATCCTGATGAAAAGGAATAACTAAGACACTGCAGCACCTCCCAGCACAGCCCAGCATCCACCCTTATTCTGGTGGGGCCAAGAGCGACAGCTGCCTACACAGGACAGGAGAGCTCCTAGGCACAGGAGCAGGCAGCACAAAATGCAAGCTGTGTCTTTTAAGAATGGCTTGGGAAAATGCAGGCTCTTCAAGAAAGCACGCAGGATGTTTTTAGATCAGCCAAAGGTTTTTATAGGTGAGAGTATCAGAGCTGTTCTGCTGAATGCATGTGAAAGCAATGCAAGTAAAAGACGCTAATGGGGTGTGGGAGGAAGAGAGCGGCTCTGTTTTTTTCAGGTCCTTTCAAGTTTTTGCTAATACTACTAGTTTTAGTGGCTGTTCTGAGAAGGGCAGTTCTGTTTTTCCTCTCTCACCAGGCCAAATCTGGGCCAAATTGGTCTTTATTCCTAAATGAAAAGCTATTTATCCTTAAGAGAAGCAACCATCTTTTTAATTCTACGTGCAAAGCATTCAGCACAACAGTGCTGTCAGTCAGCTTTGGATTAGATGTGCCAGCACAGTAGAAATCATTAACATCGGGACCTACAGGTGAAAGGAGCTACATCTCTGAACTACTCCTCTGAACTGATTAGTTCTCACTAATCTATGCAGCTTTAATTTCTTCTTACCTCTAACATCAACTGGGTGAACTCCTCGTTGCTAAGAAATGAAGGCTTCCAGTCTTGTCTAATCTCACAGGCTTCTGTCTGTGCTGTGATTTCTTAAAGAGAAAACACCAAAAAAGCAACATGATTCATGTTAGTTGGAGAGGTTTTTTTCCATTTCAAGTAACATGAGACTTCTTTTAAGAGGCTTTCAGAAGAATCATCCTGAGATCATTCTCTGTACAAAGCCTTCCCATACACAACAGTTATTTTCCACACCACCATGATACAAATGCCATTGGAAATCAAGAAAAGAAAAAGGAGACATTTTGGGTGGTCTGAAGACCATTCAGAAATGAAGATTCATGGACTGATTTCAGAGTAAGATCAGCATTGCCACCGAGGGTCCTGCAGGCTACCAGCTGACACTGCTGACAGCTGACAGCTGACCTCAACTCTGCCACTTCAGAAGGACTCACAGGGGTCCACAGGCAGCAGGACAGGCTGCCTTCTGCCATCTCTGAGCCCATGAGACCCTGGGAACAGAGTAGAGAAGCACCTTTCTCCATGTGTTTGTGATGCATGCTGTTCCTCTGCTCTTCATCACTCATGCCCTGTTTGAGCCTGCATAGCACCTGGCAGGAGGACCCAGGAGGCACCTGGTGCTCCTCTCTACCAGTCCTCTAGGGAAACAGGGAAGTGGTCTTTGGGGATTGGTGCAGCTGGCAGAGAAGAAGAGATCATGGACAAACAATCTCAGGTCAGCACAGCTTGTGAACCTACCTCTTCCATGGCCAAGGGAGAGGACAATAAGCGAGGAGGACGGGGAGGGAAACTGTGAAAGGCAAAATGCCCTGAAAAACGGGAATGTTCAGAGGGAGAGATTACAGACAGTGATCTAACAGGCCCAGGGGCAGGAGGATGGTGACAGAGGACTGGGCAAGAGAACATGGGGAGGAGAGAGCTGTGGAAAAGCAAAGAAGCTACAGAGCAGAGCAGACAGTGACAAGACAGTATCAAAGCATCCAGGAATAGAAAACAGAGCAGGGTACGCAGGAAAAGGAGAACAAAATAGGCCGGGGGATGCAGAGGTCAGTGAGGGAAATGGAGTGATGTCATTACATTAAAAAACATACAGTACTGAATCTTTTCAAGCATATCCTTGCTTAGGATATGCAATGTATTAAAATCTAGCAAATTTCCTGAGGCCAACTGCTATGCCTTTTTCTGCCCCTTGCTTAGTGTTCATATCATCTATGGAGGTTTCAGATGCTTGGGAGAAACATCACTCATCTTTTGAGCAGAATTCAACTGCTGGCCAGACGCAGAGCCAATGCTTTCGACGCCCAAAGGTTGGGGAATGGGCCCAGCACTCTCCAGTACCTTTCTGTTTCTGTAAGAAGTCGATGGTCCTCTGCAGGATTGTGGACTTGTCCATCTTGAGAGGGTGGCCATGGCCTTGCAGCATTGTGCAAAGCTCTTTAATGAGGACATTGAACTGGTCTCTCCTTTTCTTCTCAGATTTGTTGCGTGATGCCCTGGGTGATGGAAACACAACTGTCACTAAGTAAAATGAAGGACCTAGAGCTTGAGCCAGTGAGGGCTAAAGGACCCTGTTCCAGCAAAACACTTCAAATTTAAGAATCCAAATTCTTCTTGGATGCTCATTTGTTTGAAATTAGGTTTGGATTTAAGCGCTTTGCTGATGCTTACAGCCTTGCAGCAGGACTGAACTCAAAAACAGCAAGGATAACTGGAGGTAACATGACCTATTCATTTAAGCAAGCTTTTGCATACATTGCAGTAGCAGATCTCATTTGTTTGTTTGCTTCAAAAGTGGTGGTAACTAGACGAAGGTGTTATGGGCCAAGTTCCTCCAATAAGAGAAGCCCAGCTTCTGTGTGCCTACATTTTGCCCACACCATTTTGAGTTTTGCCCACACCCATATGAGTTCTTTTTTTTTTTTTCCAGTTAGTGCACACAGACAGATATAAGGACCCAAAAGAGAAGAATGCCTTATTTCCCAACTTCTTCTCACAAAAGTAGCTCATACATGCAGGATGCTGTGCGGAGACAACCGTGGAATAGAGCCAAGCACGTGCTCTTATATCTGGTTTTGAAAAACTGCAGTGGTAGTAGTGTCCCATATGAAACTGGGAATGTTAAGAGTCTGGCTACAGAAACCACAGACTAATTTCCAATTTGCATTAATACAATTTAATAACGTTTTATTAGAGTTTTCCCCTCCACTAAAAACAATAGAGGAAAAAGCCAATCCATTCAGTTTCTTCCAAAATGTTCTTTCCAGTGCTCATATCAGAGGTAACCTTACTTTCATACAACCTCTTCCAGTAGTAATTAATATTTTAACAAGCATGTTCATGGTAATACATGCTTCCTGTGGTCTATATCAAGTGTCATATGCAAAAATCATTTCCATTCATATTCAGATCGGCATTCAGAGGTTCTCAGCTCACTTACGTTCATAACCATTTCTGTCTTTGCACTAATGTAGAAAGACTAATTAGAACTGAACCAAATGCTTCTCTGAAGGGAGATTAACTCATACCTTTGCTAAAGCAGGGCTGTCCTCTAAGTTTCTCAGGGAACTCTACCCCAGGTGAGCAGTATTGCATGATGACAACAAAATGACACGTTAGGAATTCTGCATCAGGATAATAAACAGGCACCGGATAATCACGGATTCTGAGAGCCAGACAACGTAATCTAGCAACCCCCGAGCTGATTAACCTGGCACAGGGTGGTCAAATACACTATAGAGGCTTGAAAATGGTGACAGAATCATGCTGTTTTTTGGTCTGCTATACAAAACCTGGAAATTAAATGGGAGTTTTGCCTCTGACATCTGTGGTCCCAACTAGTTTTAACGCATCAGACAACACAGCATTTGCTGTTTGAGGCTCCCGGGCGAGCTTCCACCCTCTGTGCCCTGTGGACCCATTCCTACCTCTTTGCCCTGTCCTTCTCATCTTCATCCATCAGTTCGTCTACACAACACAGGGCTCTGGAAGGAAAAGACAGCAGTACTTACTGAGACATATCCTCTGATTTTGTTGAGGATGTCAGAATTTGACCTCATGTAGCTTACTGTTTTGTTCATCATGACATTCCAGATGTTTTTATCTTCCCTTTCCCTAACCTCCGATCCTTTGTGCAGTTTCTTGTTTTTCCTTTCTGCATTAGGTATTGAGGCTTGCTAAAAGCCAAAATATACAGCTTCAAAAAATGTGATTTATATAACCCACCTGCTGCCTTTGCACTCCCTTCTGTGTTACCAGTACAACCACATGCAAGCCCAGCCGCCACCTGATGCAGCCAGGGGGGCACCACAGAGGGGCAAAATCTGCACGAAATTCTGCGCAGGAAATAGCAGCTACTCTGCGACTGCGATTTCATGCTATGGTCTGTGCCAGATACTACTGCACTTGATCCTGTTTCGGGAAATCAACCAGGCTGAATTCATTGCAGTGGTTAAACAGTACCTGAGATTTCTTTCCCAGTGGAAGAGGAGGAAATAGGAAACTGTGCTGACTCCAAGAAGGATTAGTATTAGGCAGCAACAGGGTACCATCAGGAGATCTGAGAGACCATATGATAGATATATCCATCCAAAGCCCACTGTAGGCAATGACTGCTGCTTACCCCACTGGCCTTTAAACACACCATCCAGACCGCATCCTGCCACTGGGATTCATACCCAAGACTTCAAGCTAAAACTGTTCCTCACCCAGCATTACCCAGGGAAAGGAAGGGAATCAAGCACCATGAAATGATGGAAAATTAGACATGATAAGCGTAATTTCTTAACTGGTCATTTGCTTTCTGTGACTCAGATTGGCTAAGTCAGCGAGACGGGGAGTCACGTTCCAGATGTGTCAGCTGGGCAGATCCAGGCAAGCTGGCCACCACCACTCCACAGCCTTCACTGCCCAGAGCCTCCTGTGCTGGGCTGCAGCCCACCTCAGACAGCTCCAAAGTGGCTGGAGATCACATCCGTCCCCAGCTTCAGCACCCTTCGGTCTTCATGACTAGTGAGCACTTTCACTGGAAAAACTTTCCCACCACACCCAGTGCCCGAGAAGGACTCTTTGCGGGGTAGATTCAAGTACTTTTCCCTGCTTTGAGACTACTCCAAGCCCAAACAATGAGATGACTATAAAAGTAACAAGAAATAGAAGTACCTACAACCGATAGGAAGTTAAAGATACTGCTTATAATAAAGCAACAAAAATTTACCCTCACTTCCCTGCTCCAGGGTGAGGATCTCCCTCCCTGCGAAAGATCTGGGCAGAGGAAAACTGAATGAAATGATTTCCTTTGTCCCAAAAGGTGAATGTACACCACAAAGGGGGAGTGGTTCTCCCTGCCTGAGTCATTGAAAGCAAAGAGCCAAATTAGAAATTACCTGTTCTACTCCTCAGATTCATCAGTCCAGACTGACTGAGTGGGATTAGCACTTCTTATCACCATGTAAATAGAGATGGAGAAAAATTAATCCTGGAAGGAAAAGTAAATCCAGTTAAAACACAATTGCAGACAAGACTTAGCCTAGAGAGCTGCAATCGCTTCAGGCTGAAAATGTCTACCATGGTAAATTAGAAATAGGCTCAAGTATAACTGGTAAAAGCTCAGCAAAGCCTCCAGGACCTGAGGATCTGGGACAATATTCTGGGATGCTTAATTCTGTATGCACCATTTACTCCATTGGTCTTGCAGAAGAAGCCAGACAATGCCAAATTGAGCTCCCGTTTCCAAACAATAATGCGGCCCGGTAGAATGGAAGAATGGCCCTACTAGCTTGGGGCCACTAAGCATCAATGCCAGTCCTTTCCAAAACATGACAGTTTACCTGGTGTGTATGTTATGAAAAGCAGTGAGTACATTCCATACTTGATCCATCCAATCATGTGATGAAAAATCTCCTTTGAGATGAACATGATCACCTAGAGCCAGTGCAAGCCACGGAAACCACTGGGAAGGATTTAGGACTTCACTAAGGTTTGCTACTGACATGAGACGAGCGTCTCCTTTTTGATTACTATTTGAACAGCTACTAATAAACGCTCTGAATGTCACATGAAATTGAAGGTTGCAATGATTTTAATTATCCCAAACGCTTTATTTCTGTTGTATCAATTCTTTTCCCATACCTAATGTTTATCGTTTCTCAATTATCCACCTTTGTCACATTCTCTCTTCTTTCTCAGACCTCTTTGACAAAAACTCACCCCACAGTGTTCACCTCTGGAACTGCAGCCATGGATGCTTGTTTTGATCCAAACAACCCTTCTTCTCAGGAAGGATACAGATACAATCAAGCTATCCATGACTGAGAGTAATATCTTCAACAACAACCAAGTGCTGGGTTTCCAAATTTAACAAACTTTCAATGCAGTTTGAGTGACCTCCTGGCTTTGAGCCCCAGGTTCACTACCTGCCACTCATGTTAGCATTAGCTTTCAGAATCAAGACATTGCAAAAACTTGTGACACTACCAATAACAATATGTTTGTAAATATGGGGGACAAACAAACACATCTACATTTCTAATATTCTCTAGGACTAGCAATAGTTTTCCCATTTCTCAGACAAGTGAAAACCCCACAAGCGGAAGGAAACGACATGCCAGCTGAAGAACTGCTGAAAGATAAACAGATAAAGTAGGCATCCTGGAAAGGGCAAATGGGAAAGATGTAGGAATTGACAATGTAGGACCACTGCTAAATGAGTAACATCGATACAGTCCAATGATACAGAGAGTGCTTGTAGGGGCGGTTTACGTGCGTTAGATGAGACAGTAGGCCAAATTCCTGTTCATTAGAGAGAAATGCAATTGTCAGTCCATTTGCTCAAAAATTTGTCTCAGATAAATTGTTATATGGTGGTTATAAACTGTAATATGGAAGTTACAGGTAAGAGGCTTGAAAGCACTGAAACAATAAAGTACAAGAGTATAAAATACTTAATGTGTTTCAGTAGTAAGTGGTTCAGTAAAAAGTGCACTTCAGATTAAGTGATCGTTTTCAGTTTGGAACATGAACTTCAGGGAAAATCTTATGCAACTACTGATATCCCCAGTGAAACAGCAACTAAAAACAACACCTACGTAACAAGTTTAAATACGGTGGACCTGCTATACCTCTGTTTTCACAGTAGTCTTATGCTGGTCAAATTACAAGCATCTATCCTAGTTCAAAAAGAGCATAAAATCTTATTTGTTATCCTATTGACCTAAAACGGAACTGAAATTCTTATCTAAGTCACAACTGCTCATCAGTTAGTCCTACTTTTCAAAATTATATAGCTGTTTCTCTTCTAGAAGAACAAGCAAGTCAGAATCCTGCTCAGTCTTAATAATTTCAGAGATATACGCATAAAGAAAATGCTTTTTTTCAAAGCAATGAGTTAACATGGAAATAAGACAAACATCTCTTGCAATTCTTCAGAGAACTTCTTTTTTATTCAGGCTTAGGTATACAAAATTTCAGTCAAACAAAAGGATCCTTCCTGAGTTTTGAGCGGAAAGCTTTATGCAGAAATCTTCATCTTGTCCTGTGTTGTACAGTCCTATTGACTGAAGATCGTCTCCCACCTGAAACACCCAGGATGCCCAGCAGGTTCTCTGCCTTGTACACACGACTGTCCTCCCGATCAGCCAGGCCGGGAAGCAGTACGTTGAGAAAAGCTTTTTTTGTCACTGAGTGAGACAGCAGTCCTGTCACAGCTAAACCAGCAAACGGAGCCCTGATTCTCCAGCCTCTGAGGGCAGCTATCGCCGTCACAGCAGCGTGGACGAGGGGAGCCGTGCGGGGCAGAGGGAGGAGGCTTCCCCGGGCTGTTCCAGTGAGATACCTCCGACGACTGCGAGATGCGCTCAGTCAACAACAGACTTTGACGCTCAAACAGAATAAACGGCCATAAAACAATTCGCAGGCCCGAACACACCAAGAAGCTTTTTGCATGATGCAGCAGGATGGTGAGCTATAAAAAGTCTTAGCAGAAGACACCTAAGGACAAAATATTCTTAACTGGATTAAGCAGTTCAGGACTACATTTAGCTAAGTGCTTTTTGTCTTGTTATGAGCTGGAGCTAAATATAGTAACCAGAATACTTAAGAATAGTTTCATAAGGGTTGTATACAATCCTCAGCAAGATAAGGCACTTACCACTATTGACAGCAGTATGTCTGCATGCTAAGAGTATTTCAAATAGCTATAGATAGAATCTCTTTGACCTTAACTATATTAACCAGAGGGATCAAAATTTATTTATTGCCTCCTGAAAATCCTCTCCTGCAACACCTGGAGAGAAGGATTTCTGAACTCTGTCAGCAGGTAAGGAGAGAGGACACTTGTCAATGCTGCTAGCGTCTTTTTTTTCACCCCACCTACATTAGGTGATGATCAGTTTTCCCATGGAGAAACGCATATCCATCACTGCTTAATGCCTTTAATGTGGAGGGAGAAGATTCTTTCAGCCCTTGTACAGGGAGAGCCTCAAAAAATATACATAGCATTTCCAGGGAAAGTTATATTTTAGACTTTTCAAATGTCATAGTATTTAAAGTCGTTTCCAGGGTTACAGAAAGGGTAATGGAGTATGACAGCCTTAACAAGACAAATGGACTTCTCGAAACACATCTAATAGTTAAAGTGCTATTTCATGCTACCTGCAATATTCTAGTACAATTACTTCTGAAGAGAGAATGGGAGAGAGAGGGAGAGGTGGCTTTTTTTTTTTTTAAACCTCTATTTTGCAGAATTGTCTGACTCCAGGAGCTAAAACTGCAATCTTCTGACTACAGAAAATATTTATTTATTGCATTACTGCAAATCATCAAAATATTAACATTACCTTGAAAATAACTCCCATTAATGGAACACTACATTAGTAAGAATTATCTTCCCAAACCAACAGTTCCAATGAATGCTTCATTACATCTTTAATTTAAATTATGTAATTATGTCATTGAAGGCAAGGTAAAGATCACTTCACAAATCCAGTGCTGGAGAGATTTCTTCATGATCAGTGGCAAGATAAAGCTTTTATCAGTCACCTAAAAAAGGGCCCTGACTAACTACGCTGTTTCTCCAATTACATCAATTGGTCCAATTAGAAATATTTTCTCTACCTAAAAACTCTGCTGTGCTTGTATTTAACTGTTCGTAAAATTTTGGACTTGAGCAATGCGTAGCAACTGAGGAGTCTTCAAATCTATACTGTAGGAAATCTTTTAATTATGGAAATGTGCTGTGCTAACAATTTCCACAGATTTTACACGCAATGAATTCAGCAGAGAGCCCTCAATTACAAGATGAAGCACGTTGTAGCACAATATAGCCATAAATAAGAGAGTTAATGCATTCTCCAGCAATACGATTTATATGTCAATATGCCGATGTTTCATTCTTCCTGAGGCAACAGGAGGGCATGCCTGTAGTTGACAGCTAAAGAGCTGATTTAATTTTCAAAAGGCAGAATTTAACCTTTTCAGTAAAGTGTTACTGATTCAATTATAACATGCTAATGTAAGTGACATTTGCAAAGCCAGCGGCGCCCCAGAATCGTGATGGTTGTTCAGCACCACACGCACTCGCCCCCTCGGTTTGCGTATCGGAGCACCAAAACCTGCCGCTGGTCCCCGGCAGACCCACAGCTGAGCTAGGGAACAAGCTCAACCACCTCCAGGACCAAAGCTGCTGAAAGTCCTCGTCCCACTGCTGTGACCAGCAGCAGCAACAGTCCGCAGCACCTCGCGGTTCTCCCGCAGCATCGCCGCCTGCCGCAGCACCCCGCGGAAACACCACCCTTCCGCGGCCGCTTCCCCGGCCCGCGTGAAGGCTTTACGCGCAAATGCAAAGACTAAAACTGATGTGGCAGAAGAGATGCACTGGAACCAAGGTGGATCTCTACGTTATTTGGTGTGCATTTTCATTCTTTTTCTGCTGGTATTTCAATCGTTCCTCTCCTTGCCATGCCCTGCTTTCTGCTGTTCACTTCTGTTCTTAACTCCTTTCTCTTCTTGTTAACTTCTGTTCTTAACACCTTTCTGTTCTTCCTTCACTTACCCCCCTCACCTAACAACCATTTGCTGAAGTCCAGAGAATTGGGCATTTCTTGAAGGTAGTTTCTCGCTATCTCATTGTTTCTTATATATCATCTACTGTCATCTTTCTATTCTTTTCTCTTCTTCTTCATGTTTTTCGCTCTCCTTATCTCAAAAGGGAAAAGACGTGATAAAGATCTCGCTGTTGAGGATCAGCCATGCAGCGGGGGGACTCCGCCTTCGCCCAGGGTTGCAGCCTGCCCACCGGCACACGCTGCTCGGCGACACCCAGCCTTAGGGACCGTGCAGGTGGGCACCACAGGGGTCTTTCCAACACAGGCAGCTCCCGCGTCGCCCTCCCCCGGGTCCAGGAGCGCTGGGTCCTGTCTGATAGCTCCTAATTCCCACGACAGGCCCTTTGCCTTTTTGGAGGAGCCGGGACCGGCAGCGGTTGTGCAGCTCCGTCCGACAGGGACGTGCTGCCCGAGCTCGAGACCAGTGGGCCAACGCCAGGCACTGACGGGTGGCTCTAGGACACGCCTCATCTCTTGGGGGGGTTCGGGACAGGGTCACACATCATGAACCGACCTGTATTTTCATACAGTGCTTTTGTAGCACCTGGCTCGTGGGTAATGGTGGTGAACTGAGGAGAGAACCGACTCTTCCGCTGCCTCTTTCGGAAATCTCTCAGAACCGGACTTGTTCTGCCGCTACTTTAACTACTGCATCTCGATGCACTCCCTCAGCCACAGCGTACCCTTCCCTGGTTTATTGAGCTCTAAATTTAGCTTGTTACCTGTGACAGATTTATGTCCACGTTCATTATAGCAGTAACAGCTCCAGGCAGAAGCTAAGAGGTGCCCAAAGAAAATGGATTATACAAACAATTACACCAGAAAAAAGGCTGTATCAGAACACTGTGATT